GTGCGTGCGTGCGTGCGTGCGAGCGTGCCTGTGTGTATGTAAAATTAATCTCTCATATTTACAACATGCTTACGAACATGCACCTATATGACGTGGACGTGTACACATAATATCAAGTATGAGTACCATAAAGCTGCTATTGCTATTGCAATCACAATTAAGTACTGCCTGTAACGTAACAGGTTCAACTATTGTGGCTGTTATAGCAACATGACATAAGGCCAAGATAAGTACACAAGTCACAAATCCTAAGATAGGTACCAAGGTTGAAATGTCCAAAGCGAATTTATCCTGAACAATTGTCAGAGAGTTATTATTACTCTTATTACTTATCAACTCTTATCTTATTTATTATAGATATATCTTATATCTTATATCTTATATCTTAGATAGATATATCTTATAAGATAGATATATAAGATAAGCTTTATAAGATAGGTACCAAGGTTGAAATGTCCAAAGCAAATTTATCCTGAACAATTGTCAGAGAGTTATTATTACTCTTATTACTTATCAACTCTTATCTTATTTATTATATTACTCTTATCAACAACTCTTATTACAAAATTGAAAATTATGCAAATTTTCACAATTATTCTGGAGCAGGTGCTTTCTTGTCACGAACCTTTATGAAATGGAATTACACATCATAATAGGAATAATCTACTTGAAATATATAACGAATGCATTTCCATGAAAAAGTCTCACGCGAACATTGATTTAACCGCTCTCTTGTTTTCATGAAATGGTGAAGTGTTACCATTACAATACTATAATATTTCACATTAAAATAATACAACACCATCATATACACCTTAACAAAATCAGTGACATAATAATTAACAATCGCTAATTTTTTATCTCTCTTAAATAGTTAGCTGCGTAGCTAGGACATATTGCTGAAAGTAACACCTATAGATATGGCTTCATTCACTTCAGCCGTTTATTTCATATAACAGTGCAAGGGCATGCGATGCACGTAACAGGACGCAGTTAAAGTAGAAGAATCAATATTGAACGTCATCAATATCATTATTCATCATTCATCAGAATAAGAATGCTTCACAATGTTTTCAGAATCATTATTCTACTTAATTGATACTAGCATAGTTGCGTCAGGAGGGCGGACACACTAGGCGATTTTAATGCGATCAAATCGGGCGACTTTATCGCCCGATAGTCGCCGGCGAATGAGTCGGGCGACTGAGAGTGGACACACTAGGCGAATATCAGCGCGATTCATCGGCGATTTTTTCCCCGCTGCAACACTAAACCACTCGCGCCACCTAGATTGATAGTCACATGATTGAAAATTGCACCGTTTAATTGGCTGATGAATTGTACAATCGGGCGACTCATTCGCCGACCCGGACACACTAGGCGATTGAGTCGCGCGACTGAAATAATCGCCCGATAATAACAAAACGTTTTGATCGATGCGATTGAAACGGGCGACTAAATCGGGCGACTGACTGGACACATTTTATGCGATTTTCACCGGCGATTGAGTCGCCCGACTGAGTCGCCCGATAAAATCGCCTAGTGTGTCCGGCCCTTTACACAACACCAACGTTTAGACATTTGGCGATAGCGGCGTGCGTAGCAGCATCAACTATATCCCGCATTGTGCGGTGAAACTATACACCCGTTTGCTGCTCGGCGGACGACCACAATATTGATCCCACACGACATTCAAGATCACAAGCGTAAACTATATATCGCGATGTTGTCTCATAAGGATAACTGCGCGCCAGTGTTTTTTTTCTTATTTCATCTCTTTTTCCTCGCGTGCGTCTTACTGGCTAGCGCCCGGGGGAGGTGTTGGTGAAGAAAAAAATGAACACCGGACGCGCACGCACACACACGCGCGCCTCGTAACCGCTAGCGAAGTAACCATCCGCGCGTTAAAAGGACATGCTTGATCACACCGCATCCGTCGTCGTCAACGTCGTCGTTGTCGTCGTCGTCGTCATCATCGTCGTCGTCGCTGCTTGTCACACGGCCGACTGGCTACTGTTGTCGCCCCCTCCGAAATTCACGTGCTTGCCGCTAGACGGCGCTTTATACACCTGGTTGTTCGACGCCGTCGGCTTCGCTCCGGGTTTGTTACCGGTCGTGCTACGGGACATGCGCAGTGTCTCGGCGTCGGTGACGGATGTGTAGTCGGTGTGCGTGCTCGATTGCCGCCGACGCTCAATTCGCTCGGGCAGGCAGAAGATATGGCGTGCGACCCAGTCGATCCAAGCTATTCGCCTATATCAGGTGATATAAAATTCGTCACGCGTTTGAAAATTGCCGCGAAAAGCGACCAGCGGCGACGGTGAGATCAGGATGTAAGTTACGCGTGTCAATACTGTCGGCAAGCACACCGCTGGCGATCGAGATATAAATATTAAACACGCGATATCTCAGGGAAAAAACGCAAAGCTCGATGCGTATAGGAAATCTTTACAAATACGACATATTTCACTTTGTACAGCGTGTTATCACCGGATCAGAGATCGACCGGATCCGGTCCGAACCAACGGCAGTTTACGAAGATTGTAACCTCTCACGTACAACATATAGTTTCCAGACGCCTACCTAATAAGTATAATTGCTATTGAATACAATAGCCAATAAGCCGTTTTACTAGTTATTGGTGAATTTCGCAAACAGTTAGGAATTTACAGGAAAACCTGCGTTTATAATCCATCAATAAATCAACATGGTCGCCTGAAGTACCAAAAATAATTCGGTAGCCATGTTTGATTATCGTGAATCCATCCGTGAAAAGTCCGGCAAAGATGAGAGTGAAAAGGCAGGCTCTATTCTAACCTTCGTTGTGCCATTTCGCTCTAGCGCGGATGCGAAGACTTTGAGCTAATTATATTTATTCGAAATATAATGAATAACTAATGAACATCATCGTAGTTTTCGGGCACGTTTCCTGCATTGCCAATTAGTTATAGAATTATACCATAGGCAGTATTATTTACAGGCTAAGACGTATTATCGCAGTTCAGATAATGGCTCCACGTTTAAGATTTCAAACATTCATAACCGTGGCTTTCACTATAATGACAACACACTACAATAGATAAGCATAACTTCTAATTATTATACGCTGTAGCAGAAGTCAGTTAATTTAATCAAAACATTATCATCGAAATATTTCTGCTGATCTGGTTCTTTATATAAAACGCAATTTCACGAATGTGACCATAAATTCAGAAGATTTAATTTAGGGCCAGTTGCTTAATCTGCTATCACATATATATCAAGAGCACATACTAGAGCACATCTATTATGTACTCTTGATATATATATATATATATACTAGCAAAGTACTCGTCCTTCGGACGGTGGGAATTCATGAATGAGTGTATTAGTGTTGTAGCTGACCTACGGATCAAAGGTTTCTTTGTAAAGTATGTTTTGGTCTTCGTGTGCTGTGTGTGAATGAACATTGCCCTGGGTTTGCCTACTTGTAAGAGGGCAACATAGAGCATGCCATGGAAGAAGACAGGTGTGGTCAGGTCCAAGCCTATGGTAGTTAAAGTCTGTCCCTGGGCTTTGTTTATTGTCATAGCATAGCAAAGGCGGATAGGGAATTGCAGTCTTTTAAATGGAAGATGTGATGTTGAAGGGATGAGTGGTATGCGTGGTATGAATACGGTTTTGCCAGTTGCTGGTAGGATGTAGGATGACGACGTCTATGACGTTGGCATGGCAGGCTGTGACTCGACAACGTGTTCCAGTGGTGATGTTGGGTGGGTCTAAAGATCTGAGGACAATGATGGGGGAACCAAGTTTAAGAGTAAGTTTGTGTGGTGGTAAGCCTGCGGTATTAAGGGGATTCAAGAAATCCACAGGGAAATGAACAGCTTCGTTCACAGTTAGAGTCGAATCCGACAGACCTTTCCAAAAAAGTGCCGACTCAAATTTTGTAATTAGCATTGTTGTAAAAAGAATATTAAATTGATTTATTTTAGGGCAAGATCATAAATAAAGTCGAGAAATAGAAATTAGTGTTTCTAAACAATATTTTTCTATTATTTTTCCATCAAAATATGCATCGGAGTTTAAAGTTCTAGAAAATGAACACATTGAATGATAGTTTTGGTGTTTTTGACTTTAAAATAATTTTTTTGAGTAAAAAAATGTTTTTTTACCTACCGACCTACCCTTTAAAAAAATTGAGTTGGAACCGTAAACAGACATTTATTTTATTTTATACCTAATATCGAATTATATCAGCAGTTTGTAAGAATTGATATTAGAATTGAAATCCCTAATATCAGCAGTTTGTTTGGTCAGCAGTTAATAATTCCAGGAGCTTTCTGGTCAGCTGCTGATAATCACTGTCTGTGGGGCTGTCTGGGGGTTTAACATGTTTTGATAAAAAATACATGATTCATGCAGGAATTGGTGACAATCGGCAGGAATAATGCCATTTATTGACTGAGGAAACATGGTCACTGTGTTTGTGTAGGCCTACGAACTATGATTGTTATTCAAGAAACAGGCATATTGATATTTCGGAAAGTCTAGCTTAAGTGCAGGAGATAAAGGTGTATTAACTTGTATTAACTCAGCTACAAAGTTTTCGGCGTCAAACTCAACCGAACGTGAAGATGTGGTGAGCACATTGTCGTGAAGAGCCTCATTATAGATTTTGGGATATCCCAGGGGAATCCAATGAGGGGAATTCCTTAACTTAAAAATAACTTAGCTAATAAAAATTTGCTGTTTCTTTTTTATAGTATACATTTTAAATTAAATCTATTTTAAATATGCATATATCTATCTGTTTCTTTACTTTTGGACTGTTTAGTATGTACTTCTGCCACTTCACCATTAATTTCAAAATATAAAATATTTTACTACATTTAAACGTTTAGTAAACATCCAGAATAAACTATTGTACATGATAATAATAGCGCAAACTGCAACACACACCTCCACACACACCACACACACACACACACACACACCGACACACACACACACACAACACCCATCACACACA